GTTAATTTGATGTGAAAAGTGAGGGTGAATTTGGTTTGAAAAGGGGTGAATTTGGTTTGAAAAGGGTGAATTTGGTTTGAAAAAGGGGTGTATTTGGTTTGATCAAAGGTGAACATTCCGAATGATCAGCAATAGCATGCAAGCCAAGGCTCTATACTGCCGATCTGCACCATTTTTGAAAAGTGGGCGGGGCTTCTTCAAAGTGGGCGGAGCCTCTCACAGTGGGCGGGGCTTCACGCAGCAGCCCTAAAATGCAAAAATTTTGAAAAATATCGAAAGTCCGCGAAAAGCAAGTGGGCGTGGTCAGCCTAGATTGCCAAACCCTTTAGAGAATGGGCGGAGTCGGCCATGTGTCAATGCCCGGTCGTTTCCAGTCAAAGTGTTTGTGGGAAACAGCAAAAGCAGAAGTTATGAAACAAGATTTGAGAATCTATGTCCGCGCTGACAAGTGGGCGTGGCCGTCGGGGCGGGGCTCGCAGTGATGTCTGGCGTGATCTGGTTGATGAGTTGCCCGCCCTAATAAGTGTGGTTAATTTGATGTGAAAAGTGAGGGTGAATTTGGTTTGAAAAAGGGTGAATTTAAAGTGAAAATGGTATAGATTAACGGACAAGCCGCTTCGAAGCATGAGCGGGCTTTCCGAAGAAGAGCTTCGACGGCGTCATCCTTCCAGTGCTTCTAAGACGAGCAGCAATGGCAGTTCGACATCTAGCGGGCAAGGCGTCGCTCGAAAACCATCTTTCGCTCAGATGAGAAAGGAAGAGGCAGCAAAAGGGTATGTGGACTGTCAGCTTCTATGATTCCTATAGATAATTTTTATAATAGCAGATTGATGCAAAAGTTGCCAAACATTTATGTACATGTTTTTAATTTGCTTGCAAAACTTTTGTTTAATTAACAACATATTCGACATCGTATTCAATACTATTCATCCATTATACGTCCAGCTCAGCAGTTTTTCCTCCCAAAAGGAAACGGCACTGAGTTGATAGGGGTGTAACTATAAGGCAAGCTTTTATAGGTTAGGAGTCGGTTCAGGTTTTCGAAAGAGGTTGTGATGGGGTGAAGTCAGAGGAGCAGGATTTTCGTGAACGGCATCAACGGCAAGCTCCTGCAGTGTAAAGTGCGCAGTCTTGACAATGTCAGGACGAGCGCTGCCTAAAGAGGATGTGACAAAAGTCTTTTTTGGTCACTTTCCTCCAACACGTAACTGGGTTCCTCGGCGGACTGCTGTAGAGACACATGACTGTCTGCTTTTACGGGAGAACATCACATATGCCTTTTTAGTTGTAGAGTCATTTTAGGGACGACCTTGCAGCAGTTATCACGTGATCGAGCTCTAGTCTCATGTCTCAACAACTTGTGGATCTACTTCTGATTAGACTTCGGAGAGCAGGAGAGCAGAGACTGGCAAGCAGGGAGCGGGCTCTCGTTAGTTCAGTCGCCATGGTCATGCACGCGGCGTTAGCACCGATTCCAGGGGAATATGACGCATCCAGCGATTTTCACCTCAGCCTTTCGCAGTGTTGTGCTCAAAAAGCGGATCTTCATGTCCTTTGATAGGAAAGGCCGTCATCATAATTTTGGCTTTAGTATCCTTCACAAAAGTCAAATTCATGAATCATTCACATCGGCTGGTACTGTCTATGGGGACCAAGATTTCCGAGCATTTTATTCGGAACGTTATTTTAGTTCGCTCCATAGGACAGCTTGGAAGGCTGCAAGAAATCGTTTCAATGGAATCATCAGATTTCGAGAATATCCTATTAGAATATTATCCAGTAGTGCTCTCGGCGAGTCTCGTACAGGCTTTCGAGTGAGACTAGACAATCGTAATTCGCCACGCCGTTACGCGCGGCAGACTCTCGATGTGCATCATTTTATCGAATGGAGTAGCGAAGCTTATGTGTACTCAAGCGGTGGCAAGATTCCATGCAGAGAGATATAGACCTTTCCCGTGTCTTAAATATCTCAATTCAAAGGGCTTAGCAAGGCAACTCGGACCACGTCCACCAATGCAACATATTACGATTATCTTGTCACATGCACTACAGCTGCAGGGATTAGGAGTATTTACCCATCCAAGGAGGCGACTTGGGGAGGCATGGCTGGTCACCGGTCAGTTGTGCGGGGAGGGCATTATACAGCCGAACGACGTTGCTGATTGCATCATAGGGAGTTCTATCGGGTTTAGCTTCCCGCTTCTCTCCATTTTACTGACAATGAGAACTAGATCGTCACCGCACAAGCGACATTCTTGACCAAGGCCGTCACCGCCCATCGTATCTCACCGGCATGGAAGAGCGCGAGTTTTATTTCTCCCTCGTGTTAAGAACTTCAAGCTTCTTCTAAGGACCGGTGATGTTTTATTAACGACGGTGTTCGTAAATGAAGGCCAACATTCAACACAATACTCAGAATCTTTCGCCAATCTAAAGCTTTAATATGTAAATATGCTGCTGTTTAGTTACTTACGAACATGGACTGGTATTTTTCGGAAGAGAGCATTCAATTTTCAGACCGTGCGAGAAGATAGTCCACCGTCCTCAG